AAACAGATTTGCTCTTTTTAAGAGATTATGGAAGCTTGGGTTTGTTCTCCAAAGCACTCCTTTGAAGCAAAGAGTTTAATCATCACACACTGTTAATGTTTCAGATTTGGGGGTTTCTCTTTTTTTCTTTTCTTGACTGGGTGCTCTAAGGGAGAGTTTCTTTGAGATGAAAACATGTGGAATAAGAAACACCAGTGGTTCACTCCACTGCTGCCTTGTGCTTCCTCTCCCCTCTCCCAAATCCTCTTCCTCACAGGTACAAGGCCTCAGAGAGATGCCAACACCTGCTTCTACCACGAGACTCTTTAAAGGCTCAAAGATTTGACAAGATGTGTTCAGAGTCACACTCCAAACACCTCTTTTATTCATTCACTGAACTCTTGCATCTGCCAAGAAAGGTGACAATCACTGGACAACTGAAGAAGAATCCAAGAAATGCCCAACATTGCCCTCATTGCCTTATATTCCTTTCCCCATTCCCTGTTGTTTCTGAAGGAGAAGGAGTACTCCTGGATCTACCAGGTTCAAACAGGGCACGAAACCTACTCACTGTCATTGGAGAAAAGAGTTGAGCTATGGACCATAAATTCTAAGCCCAAATTTGCCACTGACTTTAAGTAGGTCATTTGATTTCTCTGGGTACAGGTGGATCCTATAACATACTATGGAGATTCCCTCCCACCTATTGGGAATATTAGTAGCTGACAGCTCTCAGCTGAAACTCCTTTGCACTTTTTCTTTGCTTGGAAAGCATTGACCAGCCCAGAGTCTCTTCCTTTTCCCTGAAATAGCTCTCATTCAATTGCTGGTGAGCCATTATAGGAGTAAAATATCCTCATCCCCTTGCCCTAATTTGGGACAGTTCTGCAATGCCATTCCAGTTTCCACGTTTCCTGTAGGATTAGCTAGAACTTCATCTAGCCATCTCCTCCCTCTGCCCAATTTTCCTTCCTTTACTTACCTTCAGGTGTTGATCCTGATTCATCCCAATAAAGTTCTTGCAATTCTCATACAAGTCTCAAAGTCTGCCTTCAGAGAACCTACCTGGGACCCTGGCCTATAGCTTCCCTATCTATGTAATAAGAGGACTCTACCAGATGACCTCCATTTCTGTCTGTAAGCATAAGTGAAGTACAATGATTCAACTGCCGGGTCTATAATACAATCAGCAGAAGCAGCAGCAGCAGGGACTCACATGCATCTGAATGCAATTGAATTACCTGAACACATCTTTCAAACACTGTGAAACAATCAGTGAAGTGGCAAACAGAGACACCAAAAATTGGGGTCTCTAGGTTGAAACCCTATCTCTGTCACTAACTTGCTCAGTGACCCCAGGTAATTCTCTCTGCTGGGCTTCATTTTCTTAAATACGAAATAAGAGGCTTTATCATATTTCTATCATATATCATATTTCCCCCCCCTCTTCATTTTAGATGAAATTACGTGATTTCTGCTTTGAAAAGAAAAAAAAGGGCCGGCAAGATGGCTGCGCCCGAGAAGATGACGTTTCCAAAGAAACCAAGCCACAAAAAGTACAGGGCCGCCCTGAAGACAGAGAAACGAAAGAAACATCGGCAGGAACTTGCTCAACTGAGAGACTCAGGACTCTCACAGAAGGAGGAAGAGGAGGACACTTTTATTGAAGAACAACAACTAGAAGAAAAGCTATTGGAAAGAGAGAGACGGAGTCTCGCTCTGTTGCCAGGCTGGAGTGCAGTGTAGTGATCTTGGCTCACTGCAACCTCCGCCTCCCGGGTTCAAGCGATTCTCCTGCCTCGGCCTCCCAAGTAGCTGGGACAACAGGTGTGCACCACCACACCCAGCTAATTTTTGTATTTTTAGTAGAGACAGGGTTTCACCATATTGGCCAGGGTGGTCTTGATCTCTTGTGATGAAGCGATCCACCTGCCTTGGCCTCCCAAAGTGCTGGGATTACAGGCGTAAGCCACTGCACCTGGCCTGTAATTGTTTTTGAAAACAGGAAAAAAAATTAACAAATGTAAAAAGGGAAAGGGCTTTAATAATTGCAACACACCCAAAGATAGCCACTGTTAAGAAAGAGAAAAGGAAAGTGTAAATGTACTTTACATGGGTCTTTCTATAATGGCATGATATTTATACATATTTTTCTATAAATTGCTTTCCTGCTAAATTTATAGTGCCTTTATTTAAGTCTTGATGCAGGAATCTAATTCAGCCATTTCAGTAGCAATACAGTACCCACTGTACAGATGTAGCATAATTTATTTGCTATTCATAGTTTATTCATTCGTAATTTATAGTTCTCTACTGATGGACTTTCAGGTTATAATGGTTTCCCACTCTTATGTAAAAAGTTGCAGTAAGCATCCATGTTTATATATCCTTGGTAATTGTCAAATTATTTCCTTAAGAAAATGACTAAAAATGAGATTGTTGGAATCAAAACGTAAGTCCATGTAAAATGTAGATGGCCGGGTAGAAAGGGCTCCCTGGTTTGCAGTTTGCAGTCCTTCTGGCAGTGAATGTAGGGGTTCATCTCCCCATACCTTCACTCATACTAGGCATTAGCAGTTTATAAAATTCCTGTAGTGAAAAGTTATATTTCACTGTTTCAAATGCACATTTCTGAATTAGGTAGAGTATCTTTTTATATGTTTTATTACCTATTTGTAGATTGCTCAAGTCTCACACCTTTCTCTTTTGTGATACATGTTTTTTTAAAGTTTTGTTTTGTTTTGTTTTGTTTTGTTTTGTTTTGTTTGAGACAGAGTCTCGTTCTGTCGCCAGGCTGGAGTGCAGTGGTGTGATCTCGGCTCACTGCAACCTCCACCTCCCGGGTTCAGGCGATTCTCCTGCCTCAGCCTCCCGAGTAGCTGGGACTACATGTGTGCACCACCACGCCCAGTTAATTTTTTTTGTACTTTTAGTACAGATGGGGTTTCACCGTGTTGGTCAGGATGGTCTCGATCTCTTGACCTCGTGATCCACCCACCTCAGCCTCACAAATTGCTGAGATTACAGGTGTGAGCCACTGTGCTCAGCCGAAATTTCTTAATGTCTCTAAGCTTCTGTTTCCTTGTCTTTAATATGGAGATAAAGTCAATCATAGTATCCACCTCACAGAATTGTGAAGATTAAATGAAGTGATGGATGTATAGTGTTTAACACAGTGTCAGCAGATGAGAGGTGCTATGATAGCTCTAGTTCTTATTATTATAGATTTCTGTTATGATGAAGACAATAGATATGGTATTAAATAAGAAAGTAATTTTTTTCCTGTTTATTTGAAATGCTTCTTTTAAATTACATACATGTATCTTTGTGCTCCTTAGATCTTTATTTCTTTATGAGTTGCATACTATTGTTGAAAAGCAAGAAAATTATGTAAAAATACTGTAAGTTATTAAATTTTAAAATTTTTAACATTTAAAAGAAAAGAAAAAAAAAGTTCATTTTTGGAAAAATCATTTTGTCATTCACCATGAACCAAAAGCTCACATTAAGCATCTCATTATTCATGACCCTGCATAGCACCCTCTTCAGTCCTTGCCCTTAGGGAATATGCGGTCTAAGGCTGGTTGACCTGTACTGGAGTCACGAATGAGGCATACTCTCTAGATCAATGTGCCACTCATCCACAAAGGAGAAACCTGCTATAATTTACAAGGTTATCACATATTCAAAGAATAACTAGAAGGAAATAGAAACTAACATACATTGAGCACTGGTTAAGTGCCTATCAAAGACTGTCGTCCTCTCATGTGGATTATAGTTCATTTACTTCTGACAATAGTCCCTGAAAGTCTGCCATCGCCATCCCCATTTCAGATTAGCCTGCAGAGAGGGTGTGACAACCGGGAGTCAAGCAGCGAGCATGTGGAAGAACCAATACTAGAACCCCAGCGTGGTTCTGTCACACTGTAATGTACTTTCCTGCTCCTCTGTCTCCTCAGTGAGAGTTGGGAGCTCCTTGAGGGCAGTCCCTGTTGCTTTCTTCTTCATATCCTGAACATCTAGTGTGATGGCAAGTACCTGTTACTAAATACATGTTTGTAACATTACTTAAGTAAGCCTCTTGACTTCTCCTGTTGCTACTTCTATCACACTGTCATGCAATCGGCCTTGCTACTTCACCTCCAAATTTTTCTAAAAATTATTCATCTTGAGACAGGCAGAAGATCAATCTCAAATCATAAACATGTAGCTCATTATGGTCTCCCAACTTACATGGTGATATGAGTCATTTGGCCACCTTGGGATTTAATAGCTGGCTGACAAGCCTCAGCACTGTCAACATGCATGAGATTGGCTCACTTGGGCCAGCTGGGCAAGGGTTTCCATTGATTATTCCTAAAACTCATTATGCTTTTGAAAGCCATTTCATTTTAAGATGGTTTAAATACATCCTTCTTATCATTTTTAAGCATGGCCACAAAAAGCATCCTAAAGATATTTGATCATTCAATTACACTAAATGAGGCCAATGTATAGGCTGCTGCCTCAGAGGTTATCATGCTTAATAAAACATACTTTATAAACCCCATGAAGGCTGTAATTAAATTTACAAGCAGCCTTCCCCACAACTTTAACAAAAGATGTCTGAATGGTGTGTGTGTGTGTGTGTGTGCGCGCATGTATGTGTGTGTGTGTGTTTTAAAGTGTCCTGTTCCATAAGGATTATAGCTCCCCTGCTGTTTGGAAAAGACAATTTCACTTGTAACACTAATAACTTGAGCAGGGGAGAAGCTGGCCTGGTGAATGGAATGCACTTCACTGCACATCTTGGCTCAGCTAGAAATCGGAAACAGATGGTCCTTGCGGCTGGTTTCCCACTCGAGCCCGCTCACTGCCAGCCTGTGGTCTTCTGTGGGCTGCTGCTGGCAGTCTGTGACTTGAACATAGTAGGACAGTGGCAAAAGAAATCAAATCTTTTCCAATGAGCAGCAAGTTATAATGAAATTTGACAGATCTGACATTCTATACCCAACATCTAGTTAGAATATATTAACCTTTAGTTTTCTTAAGCGTCTTGCATAGAAGTTGTGAATATACTTATTAGAGGGTTATGTTGTATGTGGTGTTTTTTTTTTTCTTTTCTTTTTTTTCTTTTTAAACAGGGGGCAGAGGGTTTCATCCAATCTTGGGTGGCAGCCGGTTAACAGAAAATGCAAAGAAAGTAAAAGTCAAAGAATTTCTAAATGGAAATGAGGCACAAGATCTGCCGCCAAGAAGAAAACTGATTCTGTGCAGGACATTGTGGGTGAGTCTCTGCCAAAAATAAATTATCAATATTTTCCTCGCACAATACAGATAGATTGATTGAGCGATAGATATATATCCATATCCATGTGTATGTATATATAGCAGATCAAAAATCTGGGCAATCTCTGGGCAAATTATTAAAGTAGATGGGGCTCTCTGGACCCTCTGGCATTTTCTTCAATTCTGCCCTTTTCAGCTTTGCAGCATTCACTTCTGTCATACAGTGAGAAAACCATGCCAGGTGACTTGGGATGCTGATTTCTTTAAGTCACCACACTCACACCCAGTAATGATGTGTACCTGTGCAGAGGATTTTGCTGCCTTCATCAAAAAAGGATAAATCTTCCACAAAACACCTTCACACTCTTCTGAGCTTTGGAGGAACTAGACTTTCCATCCTTTTGTGTTGATTCTTCTTTTTATCCCAACACTTACATGTGAATATGTCCCGACTCGAAGGTTTAGACGGTGATGGCCTGAACACCATCTTAGGATTTTCCACCTGATTAAGGTTAGAGGAAAGATCTAGGTGTTAACACTAGTAAATGCCTCTTAATACAGCTTTTATATTCTGTTCTATTCTTTTCTTTCTTTTCTTTTTTTTTTTTTTTTGTGACGGAGTCTGGCTCTGTGGCCCAGGCTGGAGTGCAGTGGCGTGATCTCGGCTCACTGCAAGCTCCGCCTCCCAGGTTCACGCCATTCTCCTGCCTCAGCCTCCCGAGTAGCTGAGACTACAGGTGCCCGCCACTGCGCCCGGCTAATTTTTTGTATTTTTAGTAGAGACGGGGTTTCACCTTGTTAGCCAGGATGGTCTCGATCTCCTGACCTCGTGATCCGCCCACCTCGGCCTCCCAAAGTGCTGGGATTACAGGCGTGATCTTTTCTTTCTTTTTAATCTTGGATACCCATTGCTCTAAACTGAACGTTTCTGCAGCTTCAGCAACAGGGTACATTTCTAATTTCATGTTTTCCATGAGCCTGGTGATTCAAAGCCATACATATCTGTTAAGCTCAACATTCAACTCTACGTGAAAAATAAAAAATATCCAAGGCAGGAAGATCACTTGAGACCAGGGGTTCAAGACCAGCCTGGGTAACAAAGCAAGCACCCGTCTCTCTAAAAAAAACAAATAAACAAAATCAATTAGCCAGGTGTGGTGGTGCACACCTGTGGTCCCAGCTACTTGGGAGGCTGAGGTAGGAACATCAGTTGAGCCCAGGAGTTCGAGATCACTGTACTCCAGCCTGGGTGACAGATAAATCTTATCTCCAAAAAAATGAATAAAAAATAAAAATTATCTTCTGAGAACAAGCTGGTTGGAACAGCAAAAGCATGGCTTTGTATTATATAGACATAGGGTCGAATCTTGGCTCTTGTTCTGTAGCGTGTATCTTTAGCCAAGACTCTTACCTTTTCGACCCTGATATGCAAGTTAAAAATCATAATAACAACCTCCTATGGTTGTTGTGAAGGTTAAATGATACCCAAAAGTACCTTTAAAAACTGTATGACATGTAGCAGCTGCTAAATCCTGTTACTTCTCTCCGTTTTTGGTTCAGGAGGCAACACCAGAGAGGTGAAGCTCTGAAGTCATTATTCCTAGGCTTCAATCCTCCTTCTGTCACTATCTCTGGAGCCCTAAGCAAACTTCACCTCTTGGAGTCTGTTATCCTGCTTGTAAAATGGAGTTAATAATAGGTCCTACCTCATAAGGACTCACAAGGAAAAACAAAACACACATAAAGATCTTAGAACAGTGCCTGGCCAAGAGGAAACACTCAGTAAACATGAGCTGTTACATACGAAATCAAATTGCTCTGCTCCTAGACTTTCAAATTTCCAATGGTCCTAGAAACAGCGCTTGAAAAGAAAGAGAAAATAAGTTTTAGTGCCTGCATCACATACGTTGCTATTAAATGGGTGAATAAATGAATGAAAGACACATTTTCATCAAAGACAAATAATAATACAATCACTTGATGCAAAGTACTAATGGATGGTGCAGATAAGGAAGGCAGCAGGGCACCAAAGGTGCTAGGGGTCACTGTGAGCTGGCGTCCTAAGGAGGGTGTTACCTTGGAAAGGGAGATCATGTCCAAGGAGGGCAATAGCTTGAGCCAAGGTAAAAGACAAGGCTGTGTAAATAGAATAATGTGAATTTCAAAGCGGCTAATGTCCTGTGAGTTTTTATTCTCATTCTCTAACTGTGTAGGAAGCCCCTACTCTGCCCAGCACTGTGCTTGGCCTTATAGCTACTCAGATGGGCAAGATACAGTCCCTGCCCTTAAGAATCTCAAGGTCCTTTGGGAGGCCAAGGCGGGCGGATCACGAGGTCAGGAGATTGAGACCATCCTGGCTGACACGGTGAAACCCCGTCTCTACTACGAATACAACAACAACAAAAAAATTAGCTGGGCGTGGTGGTGCGCGCCTGTATTCCCAGCTACTCAGGAGGCTGAGGCAGGAGAATGGTGTGAACTCGGGAGGCAGAGCTTGCAGTAAACGAAGATCAGGCCACTGCACTCCAGCCTGGGCAACAGAGCGAGACTCCGTCTCAAAAAAAAAAAGGATCTCAAGGTCCAGGAGGAAAAACAGACTAGGAGGCAGATGATTCCAGAAGAAGGTGCTAATAGCTGCAATGGAGCAAGGCACAGGTTATTATGGAAGAACAGAGGGAAGGGATCCAACTGACCCTCACAGCACAGGACCAGAAGGGGGAAAAAAGAGGGCTTCCCTCAACAGGGGAATAATTGTAACAAGACATCAATAACAGCACAATAACTTTAGTTGAGCACTCATTACATATCAGGAAATATGTACCTTATGCATTTTTTTGCTTCTAACTACACTACACACACACACACACACACTTAATAACGATTATTATCTTCATTTTCCTGATTATGATAGGACACAGAATCAGAGTGGTTAAGTAACCTGGGAGAGGTCACACAGTAACCAAGAGAGCCTGGATATGGACAACTGGATTGCAGAAGCAGTGCTCTCAATCTCTCTATGACCCAGGCTCTGAAAAATCACGAATATTCCATATTATATCTCCTTTTAGCAATATATAACAAAAACCAAAACCTCTCCTCGGTATTTGTATTGTACACCTGTTGACAGCAGAGTCTTCGAGGCCTTTATCCAAATGCACTGCAGCAATGACACAGATGGAAATTCACCATCCTCTGAGTTTTCTTGGGTTCTTCCCATTCAACAAAAGGGGATAGCTTATTGAGGGAGCACTGGCGATGATGACCTGAATGAGGCTGGAAAGCGACTTGCATTTTGCCTGAGGCTTCATGTTATAAGGACACAATTCCCTTTCTAATGCTTCCCCATTGTCACTCAGGAAATAGTCCTCATCACCTGACTCCCTATCTAGGGGGAGTCCCACTTCTTATAAAATATACTGAAAGGAAATAAGAAAGGCCAAATTTTGATGGGCTTTTTTCTTGATGAGAGCGCTGTTTTTGCCTTGGATTCATTCATGTGCAGTGGGAAGAAGTATTCAAATGACAAGAGTTAAATTCAAAACATGTAGCCGCTTTCTGTTATATTTTTTTTCTAACTGAAGGCAAACCATTTAGATGTTTGTTTCCAAAAAGGCATCTGTCAGCAATCAAAGGGGAAAAATGCATAAAGCAAATGCAATTGTTTGGAGTAGCATTTCCTGGATCATGTTAAATGCTTGAATTGCTCCCCATTATGCTCACCAAATAATTTTATTTCCCACAATAATTGCAATATTTAACATGTTTTATTTAATCTTGTTTTAAGGCTATTAACAAAGGGCCACACTGTGAAAAGATTGATTGCTGCATGGGAAGGACAGCTTCCACCAGCCTCTTAGAGAACAATGATAAAGTTAAATGCACCTAATTGTTCTGGATTTAAAATACTATTATCCAATAATATTTATCATTTTTTTGTTCAAACTATGCGCCCTCTCCTGCAAAATCTTCCTGGCTATTCTATCATTCACAGAGAGAAATCTGGAATCCAGCTTACCTTGTGCTCCATTCATTCATAAATAATGGGCATGCATAGGGTGTTCTGAGTCTCAAAAATGCAGCGACTCAGACAAGAAACAGCTCCAACTTCAGAGGTTGCTGCAGGATAAACTCAGAAATTGTAAAGCTGTGGACCCACAAGTTCAAGATGTCCACGTGCCTGTATGCCCTGGGAGAAAGCGGAGGAGACCCTAAAACAAGGAAATTTTGTTTTGTCTGCTTGTCAGAGGCAAGTAGGAATGGATGAAGTAGAATCAGAGGTTGGTTGATTCAAAGACAGAATGCTACTTCGTTTCTTTTCTTCTTCTTTTTTTTTTCCTCCTTTTTTGTTTGGTTGATGATATTTTACATTTTATATAGAATTTCCAACTTTTTTCTTTATCTTTCTCTAAATGATAAACTTAAGAAAGACTAAATAATTTTAATGATGCCGCAGTTACACATGGCAATAAATGTTTTCATTGGCAAGCTCAGGGCAAGTTTCTGGTAGTAGGTCCATTTGTATTTGTTAGACACAAGCTAACAACATTTCCTGCGCTACTGCAGACTCTTCTTCTGAAAAGACAGGTGACAGCAAGGTAATAAAGTATACAAAGATACTTCCTAAGAGTGACGGCAATGTTTACATTTGATAATAATTCTGGCTACCACCTCTCACCCCAATATTATTAGAAGAAATCCCATGACAATAAAGAATGAGAAAGGGAAAAAAATGCCATATTTGTTGTATTTGTGGTTCATTCCTAGAAGCAGCCTGTGCATCATGCTTTAAATTAGAAATATTGTTGGTGCAACAGGATAAAATTTGCCTTAATACAGTTATTTTTGTCAAAAAAGCGTGCTAAATGGTTAAAATAATACCTACTAAAGAAGAGATCAGAAATAGGAAAGCAAAATGCACCAAATTTACCTCTTTGGAACTTAAAATATGCTCTAAACAAGTTTATCTAAATATTATTCAGTCAAAAACATGACCAGAACAAAAAATCCACTGGAAAATTAGGCAGTAAACGCACAACTTTTTAAATAATCACAGTTCGATAGCCCTGAGAAATAGTGATGGACAGATTCTCCCATACTTTGGAGTACCTATATTGAAGGCCCATACCAGAGAAAACTGTAGGTTCTTGGAAATCAAAGGATCGCTTATATTCAGAAAAAAAGAGGATGCGTTTGGTGCACATCCACAAAAATTAGGACGTGTTTGGTACCCTGATAAAGGTATTTCTGCAGTTCCTAATGTCACACAATTTGAAAGAATATAACGAATACAAGTCATTCTCTCTGCTTCTTTCTCCTTCTTAGTCCTAAGTAAAATGACTTGAAATGCAGCAATTGTCTGGACTTTTTCTCACTTTAAAAAAAAAAAACTATTTTTACAAACATTCTTATTGGTAGGTCCATGTTGCGGTCTACTTTTCCATACTAAAGACAGGATGTGTGGTTAAAAACCCCTGTGAAGAAGATGGCTAGGTTACAGTAAGGAAATCAGAAGTGACTTTCTCTGATTAAGGAAGAGCTCATGTCAAGTTTAGCCTGAATTGTGCTAATCCGAATTGATAATGACTGATTGCTTTGTTTACAAAGAATGGAAAAGTCCAAAATTAATTTATTTAAAAAGACACCAAAAAATATCGGTGGTGCCTAGCCCAGCATAGGTTAGAACTTGTAAAATATCAGTAACGTATTTATTTACTCACATAAAAACATACATCTAAACACAATGCCAGCCAAACCAAAAATCAAGAGACTTGAATGCTGCCATCTCTCGTTTATCTTCCTTCATGACTAAATTAACTAATGAGTTAATTTTTAAAAAATAAAGCAAGGAAAGAGAAATATTTTTTCCTGGAAATTTTTTTTAACTCCTTGGAAAACCTGTTCAGTTGTTCCCAGATTTAGTTTGAGACTTTTCCAACAGAGATGTGTAAGACAGCAAAACTGAACTAAACATTTTTTTAAATGCACAGCTCACGTTCTTGAGAAAAGTGGCTGTGAAAAACAGATACTGAATCAGACTTAAAGTCGAAGAAGGGGGGGTGAATAGGGGGGAAAAAGCCCAAAACATTGCATGATAGTCTCTAAGCAGTTCCATCTGTCAAGCAGAAATTTTAGGCTAATAGCCTGTGGCGATCTCCCTCCGCAGTCCACTACCTGCCTTTGTCCTATTAAATCTCTTTATTCTCCTTAAAAAAAAAAAAAAGGGGGGGGGGGATTGGTTGTTGGAAGGAAAGGAAAAACCCTGCAGACCAAAATCATCTGAGTGATGAAGCCCTAATTTTAACCACCTCCCTTTGATGTGTAGCAGTGGGCTCTTGTTTTTTAAAAAGGAGAGAGGAGAAGACAGTGCTAGGAGCAGAAGACTTTTCATCTCCACTTCACCTTGCCACTGGGTCTGTGAGAGATTGGTTCATTGTCAAGGAGATTTTTTTTTTACCCATGATTCCATATGGTATGGACCGGACTACATGTTGCCCCACATGCCACTGCAAATGTTTTCTCAATTAGGTGTCTTATCTCCCGTGAGTTAGCATCAGATGAAGCTTGCTGACAGCGTAATGGCAGGGAAAGCTTCCGACGGCTCCATCAAATGGCAGCTCTGCTACGACATCTCGGCCAGAACTTGGTGGATGGTGAGTTGGCAGCCGGGGCTGCTTTTTTTTTTTTTTTTTTCCTTTTCTACTTTCCCTCCCTCTTTGACAAAATGTCCCAGACCTCACATTCATCAAACTCACATTTGATTTTTTTCACACTATTCAGTGAGGCAGCCTCACACTGCTGCCTCTTGCCATCCTCTCTCTGCCACTCTGCGACTTGAGTTCTCAGGAATGCCTCCCCTCGTTTTCCATGGGACAGTATTTGGGGTTTTCTTTTCTTTTTTTTTTTTTTTAATTCTTTTTTAAAGAGTATCAGTTGTAAGGTGGAGGTGGATATTTTAGCCAAGTCAGTCTTGGGGGAAAAAATGAGGCATTGGTCCCGGCCCTCAGGTTTTGCCCCCTCTCTCCAGTTTCACATCCCCCTTACTTTTGTTTTCAGGGACTGTGGGGTGTATGGTTTTCTCTGGCTGTGGTATTTTCTGAGGACGCGTGTTGGGCACTGGGGAGAAGCAAGCCCTGAGTGAATTCCAGTCCTGGCCAATTAATTGGATTGCCTAAAGTCACCTGTGAGAGAACTCTGGGTCCCCACTCCCTATTTTCCATCAGGGGACCCACAGCTCCCATCTAACTTTTCTCCGTTTAAATATCAGAGCAGGTTTTCCGTCTCTTAGGCACTCTAGCTCTGAGTGGAAAAGACCCGCACACACTATCTTTTAGTTACTCTGGATACAAATAAAGTTTTAATAAAGTTCTGCCACGCAGCAGCAGAATGAGTTAACTCACATGTCATGGTCCACCAGGACAGACAACCTTTGACATCTTGGATCTATAAGAGGTAGAGTGAGTTGGGAGGATGCACAATAGCTCATTGTCACAGGAGATGCAAGTCCCGTGAGGAAGAGAGTCCTCAAATCATTACTGCCCTCGTTAGGGTGGTGTCCGTTAAGGATTAATTTGTCAGCAGTGCATTTCTAGTTTTCCGTAATTATTATTCTTGCGGCAAGCGTGAATTCTTCCAGGGAGTGGAAAAAAAGTTTGCTGCCAGGACAATGAATGTATTATCCGTTCCTAACTGGACCGTGAACTTCAGCTCATTTCACATAGATATCAGTTTAAGAAAAAAAGAGAGAGAGAGAGAGGGAGAGATGTTGAAGGGGGAGACTGGCGAATGGAATTACAAAACAGGGCATGGTCAGTTTCATTGTATGATCTGCAGAAAGAGTTCTCTTTTCCCCTTCCTGGACCAATGGTGGTATCATTTTGGCAAGTTGTAGGAATTTGGAGGACTGAGAGACTGTTAAAAGTGAGCTACCACAGGATTCCATCCGGCTGCTTCTTGGGATGCAGTATGTCCATCCTAAGGACTCTTGAGTTAAAGTGGTTGTGGGTATGTGTGTACATGTGTATTTTAACTTGTAATTCTTAACTAGACATTAGAAACTTTATCAGTAATTTCAGGACAATGTTACATGCAGCTTTTGGCTAATTAGACTAGCAGTAGACTATCCACTTCGACCCTGAACTTTTGTTCAGGGCACTTATTTTCCCATTAGAGTTTTTGCCAGCAAGAACAAGGTTTACTTGTATATGCTATGATGTTGCCTATTGCTTCACTTTACACAGCTTGTTAAACATTATAAATGAATATACTGATTGGTTTAGCAATTATTTTCTAAGTTGTAAGCTTTAAAAAAAAACTGCGCGCTGATGTCATATTTTGGGTGAAACATTCTACTTCCTTGTATTTCAAGAGCTCATAGATTTTATAGACTGTTACTTTTTATGGCAAATTGTGTCATCTCTTTTTTTTTTTTCTTGCAAAGATCACCAAATGCTTCTCTTCTTTTAACTTGGAAAACTGTAATTTCTTTTTTGTAAAGTTTACTTGGAAGTTGCTTTTCATTTAAAATTATTTTACAGATGTTTTACCGCCGGGAATATAATATATAAAAGTGGTGGAAACATTTAGCAATGCAGCTGCCTAAAAATAAACAATGTTGAAAGCTCACATGCTGCTGTTTAGGCTGCATACTACAGGGAAGTTTCTCACAACTTCAGTGCTTCTAGATCTTTGCTTTGAAAAGGGGTGAGAAATCAGAGCACTCTCTAAAGAAGTTATACAAGTTATCATAGGGAATAAATCAATTTGTTGCTTTCCCTCAAAGTGACCACATACCATGGCATTTCAGATCCGTCAGTTACAAATAATTCTAATGTAAATTTCCCATTATTGATGGGAAATTGAAGACTTTGATGAAGGAGGAGGGAACTAATTAAAATAATACAAATTTCACGTTTTCTCTTAGATCTCTTTCCTTGAATAACACGCTCTCCCTCTCCCTCCATTCACCCACCTCGCTATCCCAAACAATTTCCCCAGCTGAAAGAAAAATTTAAACTTCCCTCTGGCTGATATAGTTCTTTAACCAAAGGATAGTACAAGATCGGAGTTTCACACTAAAGGCAAATAAAGCTTTAAAATTACCTCATGCGTCATCTGGCTGCACAGACTCCGGGCTCATAGTGGGAACCTCCGGCTTGGTCCTCCCAGCATACAAAGGCAACTCAGTGAATGCCCCCTCCGCCCGTGGAGACACGGCCTCAGCTGCCAGCGACGGGATATGCAATTTTGCTTTTTAATGAATCGTAAACAATTTGTATGGCAAATGAGTTTGTTTGTTTTAGTTTGGGGGCATATGTTGTACCAGGTTGTAGACAGTCACTACCTACTCCAGAATTTTAGGTGGGAATGGGTAGAGCTCTGGATGTTTTTTATTTTTCTAAATAATAAAGACACACTAGGATGAAAGAAACTGGTTAATAAAAGACTGAGAATAACAACCTCTCTTCTCCTTCCCTCTCTCTTTTCCTCTCTATCCCCACCCCCCTCATAACTCCCTCAGGCTTACAGTAGGGCTTTAGCTACACTTTTTGATAACTAACTGGAAATAATTGGTTGACTCAATTAATTTTTAATTTTTTTAGGTATAAATTTTAACTTTGTCTTTAAAAGACTACTTTTGTTTAAGAAACAGTTATTTTAAAATATGAAATACTGAGAAGGGCCATCTCTGTCCTCTATCACTTTTTTTGGTTGAAGCTAAGGTTGCCTTGAGGGACATGGGATATAAGAATGGTATCATTTTTTATATCAAAATGGAGCAAGAAAGGGGTCTTGCTATTGAAAAGTCAAATAAAAACGTTTATTCAAACCCACAGAGTTGTAAACAACTTAGAAGTTAACAAGCAACCAGGTTTCGAGCATGTACATTTTAACAGTAATTACCTTTGGCGCTGCCACTTATGGGAAACCTTTTGATATCTGAGCCACTTCTCTAATGCTTTAATCATGCAAATCAAGAAATAGATATTACGTATCAACTTAATCTAGCTGTGTTGTGACATCGCTGGTAGAAACTCTCCCATAGAAAACTAAAGAAAACCCTCATGAAATTTTCCTCAGCTCCAAATGAAATGGAGGCACCCTACAAGCATGTATTTGCTTCAAAATATAATTCTGTCCAGCAGAATTATCTCCATTCTACCCATATGGCATAAAGTGAAGGCAGAATGAACATTCTCCTCTTCGTAATGATAACAATGTGTTATGGAACTATTTTTATGTGAATTACAAAATGCACTTGTCTTGCTTCTGCCCTCCAATTTAAAAACTCATAGTGACTGTGAAATGAAGGCAACTAAATTATCCTACAGCCCCCTCACCCAATGCTAGGTCCTGAAGCACTTATTTTGGGAGCATTCTTTAAAAAATTTGACACACACTTTTAAAATCAAGAACTGTCTGTCACTTACTCAAACTTGTACAACTCAAACTTTGCATACCAGGAAAACACTTGGGCAAAAAGAATATGCTGTGCCTTGTAGTATAAATGCCTACTTTTAAAAGTATATATGTAAAAAATAGCAAGATATTTCTATGAAATACTGCCTTACTATGTTCAACAATTCAAAAAAAAAAAAAAAAAACTCAACTCCAGCCTACTTCCCAAATGATTGGCAGCTTTAACTACTGCAGACACAAAATTAAGAACTCATATTTCATGGAAATCTTTTGTTGTTGTTAAGATGTGTTGGATTCACATATTATGTTGTATTTACCATTTCAGTTTTCAATATTCTCCGCTGAACAACTCTTCTTAATGATTGTTTGTTGTAATTCTTTGAAGATATTGCATAATGGAGATTTGTCTATAAATTTGCACTTATGCCTTTATGATAAACTAGGAAATTGCTACAAAGTCTATAAATAAAAAGACTCAAAATTAGGAGATTCAATAAATTATAAAGCATATCATATTCTCAGCACTCAGCATATTTTTAAAGAGTCCATGGTAAACATATTTATACACTTTCTATTTAATGCATTTGCAAACTCTATTTTTAAGTATTTTCACAGATATTTTGCAGATATTTGCAGTACAGTGGCTCCACCTGAGCTTATTTCTAAATGCACAATTTTATTTTTATCGACCATTATAAATATATGTAAGTATATTCATATCTAAGAATATGCATTAACTTACAAGATTTCTGTACACTCCAATATTATTTTCTCACAGTATAAGCAGATTGCAAGCAAAATCTGAATGGGGTAGGGTTTTTTTTCTCTCTCACATATATTAAGAAGTTATCCTTATCATTTTCTTTTAGGTTAGCCTTGTACAACATCTTTTAAAGTACCATTTACTATTTTTAGGGAGAAGTAAATACATTGAACTATGTTCCTACTTTTTTCTTTAAATCAAATTATGATCCAAATGTACTTCATTCAGAATTGTGATTGGTTACTTAAGCAAGCCTATGTACTTCTACTATCTTTTTTAAAATCTTGATTTCCTGTTGTTACACTCATATTTCCCCTGTGAACTTTAGACAGTGAAATAAATGCTTTGTCCTTACTTATTTTCTAGTTGATTTTCCTTCACCTGTACTGAATATTGACAGGAATGTTTCTAATTTAAAACCAAAAGAGTCAGGGGCTGATTAGAAGACAGGAAATTGGAGGATTAAACTGTCTGGTTGCACTTCCTTTACTTATCAGCACTCAGTAACTCACTCTCGATTACAAACTCAACAGGACAATTTTTACAATGCATTGTTTCTTCTGGATGTTTACATATAAACAGTGCATGTGAGGGTGTGCGTGTGTGTGTGCGCGTGCAACCAGGCATGCACATATATCTGTATGTGTCTGTGTGTGCATTCATGAGTAGGAACAGAAAAGAACCAGCAGCTGGTAGTTATAAGTAGATGCTTTTAAGTGGGATAGTTTTAAACCAAAGGGGCTTATACTATGGGCATGAAAGTTCATTCAAAGACTATAATCCCAGGATATTCTCAAAACTTTCTTACCAAAACAGATCTGTGAAACCAAGCAAACAATGAAATACTATAAGGGGGAAAGCAAGATGCACTATTTTGAAAATGAAAAATAGATTGCAGTAGCCCTAATGCAGTACATTGTCTTCAAATTCCAAATCCCCATATTAGTGAATGAATAGAGAAGAGGACCCAAAAAGGGGGGGGGGGTGTTAATCTAACAGGCATTCAAAACCATTTTGAGATCCCTTTGGCACCAGCTGAGAAAGGAATCTTTCTAACTGTGGCAGCAGGCTTGAATGTTCCAGGTGAGCATATATGATGAAATGGGTGCTTGGCAGGGAATGAAATAGCAGATCAGGATAAGAGGGTAAGGATTCATCTTATGCCATCAGATCATTTAAAATTAAAAATAAATAACGAAAACAAAACACTGTTCTAGATTTTTACTGTGTCGTATATCTCTGCAGAGCCGTGCTCTGGAAACCACGCTGAGAATTATCATTCCTGACCTCACTCTGCTCATCTCTGTTGCCCTGAATAAGTATTTGTTGATTTGGCTTAAGAGAGTTCTAGATGAATATGTGACCATTTTTCCTGTTTCTAATTGCAATGGTGGGTTCTACTGAGAGATACAGAAGATGAAGAGGAGTGTGTGATCTGACTAAATGAGTTGGTTGCTTAGACTGGTAGAGCTGGGAGTTAACATTTAGGGGCTTGTTCTGGTAGTCCTTTATTCCTTCACCTATTCATCAAATATCTATTGGGCCCCTACTAAGGGCCAGAGGGGGCGAAAATCAGTGGCTGCTTCTGCCAGCCGCCATCATTCAAGTTTTAAAAGCACTAGGGAATCTCTCTGCACCTAACATATAACATTGATTGATAACTATCTGTGAAAATCTGTGCTAAGGGCTTTACATATTTTTTTTTATTTGTCATGTAGTCTTCACCACAAACCTATGAAGTAAGCATTATTGTCCCGCTTTATATATACAAGGACCAAGACTAGCAAAACATTGCCCACTGCCTAAGGATGTGCCCAGGCCGAGGATGGGCCACCCAGACTGTGGAGTCCACTTGCTTAATCTTAGACCAAATTTGTCTGAAGTGAATTCATTATTTTAGCACTAGAATGTAACGTTATTCAGAACTTCACAGAAGTAGGATCATCCCTTAATAGGATGGTATTCTGGGGGAACAAGTCTGTTTGCTAAGACAATAGAGGCAGAAAAACGTATATTGTGTCAACAGCAAGAATAAGACACAAGTCTTGTGGTGCCTGCTCCCTGTCCCAGAAGCATTGTCCATGTTCCTGTTCTGAGGCAGAAAATCTAGTCTCATCACCAACAAAAGAAATTCATTAGATAGATGAGAGAGCCTCATTCAAAGAGTGCACCTAGGCATATTATAATACACCTTTTCATCAGAAGATGCATGCATGGGTCAGGGAAACCCAGGGTGTCTAAGTTCTTGCCAAATATTGAGAACATTTTTTTCTGTTAGTAATTTAATCTTTATTTAGCAAATATTTCACTTACAGTTTTAAATGGAGCATTTCATTAAAGAAAAAAAAAAAAAATAAGTCATCCTTCCAAAGAAAAGTTCCAGGTTTTGGCTCTCTGTCTATCTTTTTTGTAATAAGCAGAAATGCCAACATATAACAGTATTGGTGTTGAATACTTTTTGTTGCCACAGGATTGCTAATTAAAGGTTTGTCCCAATGTCGAGTTTTATGTAAGAGAAGACACAATGCAGGATATATATTGCCTAATGGCAAAGATCTTAATACACGCATTACAAGTAAACATCTATTTTCCAGACAACTGCTGACTATAAACAGCATGTCTCAGCCAGAGCTTTTTAATAGTGCCACATGTGGGACAGATTTTTTATTCCTCCTAATCCAAGTTCCTTTTGTGATCCTTGATGTGCACATGCTATTGCCCTGCTGACTATTTTAAATGGATGATAATTAGGAATAATGACCAGGTCAGAGGTAGGGATGCGTAATCCCTGGCAGAGCAGCCTTCCACCAAGTCAAAGCACATGGGCCCTCAGAGCCGGGAGCCGGCACTTGTAAGCTGAATTGAGCACACAATGTATGTGGCTGGCCACATACATTGCCAAATAAATATCACATTACACATCCCATCTCCCCAGCGTGACCTTGGTGTAGACAAAGTCTAAACCCATCTAGGAGATGAGAACATTTTTGTTCCGAGAATGATCCCATCTGCCTCCTCCTACTCCTAAATATCCTTCAACTACCCTCGCCTTCACAGATGTGTACTTTTCAGTCCTGCTGAGGAAATGCCTTAGTGCCTGGGTTTGATAAGCCCTCTTCAAATGCTGAAAAGACAGTGTCAGCTAAATAATTGATTTCATCTATTCATTTAAGAATCAATTACAGTCATCCCACCTTATTCAAGGAGGATACATTCCAAGACCCCTCGCAGATGCCTGAAATCACAGATAGTACAGAACCCTATGTATTCTATTTTTTTCTACACATACATACCTATGATAAAGTTTAATTCAGAAATTGGGGATAGTAAGGGATTAACAATAACTAATAATAGAACAATTATAACACTATACTGTAAAAAAAAAAAAAAGAGTATGTGAACATGCTTGCTTGCTCACTCTCTCAGAATATCTTATTGGACTGGACTCACCTATTTGCAGACTGAGGTTGACCTCAAGTAACTGAAGCTGCAGAAAGTGAAACCACATATGACGGTGGACTCCTGTAAAATTATCACAAATTGTTTCGTTGTGTCTTACTTTAAGAAAAATGGCAGCCAGGCTCGGTGGCTCACGCCTGTAATCCCAGCACTTTGGGAGGCCAAGGCGGGCGGACCACGAGGTCAGGAGTTAGAGACCAGCCTGGCCAACATGGTGAAATCCCGTCTCTACCAAAAATACAAAAATTAGCCCAGTGTGGCGGCGGGTGCCTGTAATCCCAGCTACTCAGGAGGCTGAGACAGGAGAATCACCTGAAACCAGAAGGCGGAGGTTGCAATGAGCCGAGATTACGCCACTGCACTCCAGCCTGGAAGAAAAGAGCAAAATTCAATCTCAAAAAAAAAAAAAAGAAAGAAAGAAAGAAAAAGAAAAGAGAAAAATGGCAACCTCAGTTCTGGTTTTTGTAAGTATGCGAGAAGCAACCTGTTTTCAGGTGGTATAGCCTGAACTCTGCCCTAGTAAACAGTAAGGAATCTTTGAATGCTTGCCCAATACTGAGGTCCAAGTCAATACAGTATTATTGGTAGAACTGCATAAGGAAAAAAAAAGACAAATAATTGAGGTGGGGGGGAATAACTATAGGAGGCTGTAGGAGGGGTTGATATAATTTCTCAATGGAAAAGTCAAGAAATAACAAAGCTAAAAATTGGGGGCACAAATGCACATGTCTTCAGACCAGGCAGGTCAGCTAAGTGGAAGAGGCAGTGGGGCTGTGATAAATACACACAGGAGTGTGTGGGGAGGGGTGGAGTCTTTGACAAACTGGAAGGTGATATCTATTTACCACAAACAACAACAGTGAATACAACACTGTACTAACCAAACAGAATGCATCTGCTGCCTGGGGCCTAAAGCTATTGTGCACACACCATGGATCAGAAGGTAGAATGAGGTTCTGGCATCAAAGTGTTTTATTCTACAAAAAGAAAGAAACTTAAACGTTACATGGGAGAGGGATTACAGCGATGTAACCCACATAAATTACTACACTACAGGTTAAACCATTCACGTCTGATCTTTTCTTCCTGGCAGACTTTTGTGGATGGGAGAAGACAGGCAGAGGACCATGTCAGTATCTAAAATAGGAAAAGGGGCCCTGGCGCAGGAAAGACACTTGGCAGACTAGAGATGTTGGGAGATGTTGGGGAATTCATAGGGGATGCAGAAAAAGAAGGCTGGTGATGATAAAGACCAGCAGAGCCTTACCTGCCCACTCCAGTTCCCTCCACTCTGGCCCCAGATTTTTCATCCGTGGATGTGGAGTCCGTAGGGTCTCATGGACTATGAGTTCCAGGAAAAGAGTCTTCCCTAGCACTCAGGCTGATGCTCATGCCCATTTTCTCCACCCAACAAACTCTATCCCTACTGCCAGCCTATGTATAAATGAAGGCTTCTCCCTGAAGCCTTCTCAGGTCCCCTCAGGCAAAATGAGTCACTTCTCCACTCCCTCCCTCTGGCCTCACAGCCCCTTGCTCATAGTATTATGACACTGATTAAATTGTGTTGCAGTTTTTCTGTTTACTATCCAACCCCACTACATTGCTTGTTGCTTAAGAATAAAGTCTAGGGTCCTATACTTCATATCTCCAGTGCCTAGCCTTTCGCAAGTATCACCTCCTTACTCACCAACCCCCCGACCACAAAAAAAAAAAAAAAGTGTAGTTCAGCAGGAGGTGAAGTGAGGGCAAGAAGGGCTAGTGGGTCTTCCAGGACTCTGCTTCCCCCAGAGCAGGAGCCTCAAGACTACAAGAGGTAGATTATCCAGCAGACCGCTGCCTGCTGTGTATTGATGGAAATTTGTGATGCCTCTGTGTTGACTGCTTGCTCTGTGTAGGCACTGAGCCCAGCAAGTGCTCTGCACACATGGGAGCAATTCCTCAAAACATCTCTTTGAGATCAATATCATTGTTTCCACTCCACCAATGAGGAAACTGAGTCATAGGGCTGAAGAAGCCAGTAAATAGTCTGAGAAACCCCAAAGCTGTGTTCTCCTATGCTGTGATGATGCTAATAGGTCCAGCACTGTCATGCTCTAAGGCTCAAAAAAAGACTGTGATAATTAAATGTGGGCAACATTTCATGTCATTTTGTAATGGAGAAGACTGGAGCCCTAAAGGCTAAAATTCTTCCAAAGTCAAAGTATTGACAAAGTTTGGGTCTGGAATGGAGGCCTCTAGTGAGCTTTCTGCTAAATACCCATGGTAGAGAATCATAGTGTTTAATTAAAACCAAGCAAGCATGTTCTCCTTCTCTTCAGTTATAGGTTAACAGGAGATTTTCATTTTTTTTCTTTTGGCTTTTCTGTATCTTGTAATTTTTCTTCAATGAACATGTATTTTTTTACTTATAAAATAACATTTAACAAAATCATACTCACTAAAGATATTAGTCCTCTTCTCTTTGATCTCATAAAAAATGGCAGTAGCAGATGTCATAAGACTTTGGGCTTTGAGAATGTACATATATTCAAAGTAGGGTGGTGCCCATTTTTTTCATTAAAGTCCATACTCAACTGCTAAACTGTTGTTTTTAAGACTCCCTTTATTTTTTATTTTTTATTTTTTTTGAGACAGGGTTTCACTCTGTCCCCAGTGTGGGGCGGGAATGCAGTGGTGCAAACTCAGCTCACTGCAACCTCTACTTCCTGGACTCAGGAGATCCTCCCACCTCAGTCTCTCTGAGTAGCTGGGACTACAGGTATGCACCACCTTCCCCCAGTTAATTTTTTGTATGCTTTGTAGACATGCAGTTTCCCATGTTGCCCAGGCTGGTCTTGAACTCCAGGGCTCCAGCAATTCCCCTCCTCAGGACCCCCAAAGTGCTGACACTACAGGCGTGAGCCATTGTGCCCGGCCAAGACTCCACTTTCTATAGTGGGTCTGGTAGTTCTTCCTATTTCCCACTTCCCAGTGTAGCAGCTGTCAGAAGCACCGATTTCCGATTAAGCACACTGGTCAAATCCTGGCTCTGCCGTGGGTGCCCTATATATAACCATGGGATGGACAGTGACATTCTGAATCTGTTTGTGTCTTCAAATTGGAAATAAAATAATCATAGTGCATTAGGAGGATTAGATGAAACAACGCATATTGCATAGTCCAGAAATCTGGGAAGAATTCTCACACCCTCCTCTTGCTCACTCCACATCTAATCCCAAATAAATCCTGATAAATTTACCTCTTAAGTAATTCCTAAATCCATCCACTCTCCCCATCTCCTCCACTCTCCCCCCATTCAAACTACTCTCTGTCTAGCCCACATTACCATAGTAGCTTCCTAACTGGTCTCATTGTATCCTTGCCCTCCACAATTTATTCTTTACACTTAAGGTTAAAAGATCTTTTCAGACACACGTAATCATCATTTCAATGGATTACTCTTTCTCCTAGATAAATAGCAAAATCCTTAATGAGACCTCCATAGTTTTGCCTTTCCAAGCCTGTCTTGAGGCATTCTTCTTTTCCCTAAACATACTCTAGCCAGTTAATCTTCTGTGAGTTCCCCAAAACCCCCAAAATCTCAAATCTTACCCATATTAATCTGCTTTCCCTAGAAACATTCCTCTTTGTAGTTAACACTTCTACACCATTCCCAATATGAATGTGGCCTTTTCATGAAAACTTCCCTATCCCCAGACTTTATCAAAGGACACTACTGATAAACCCTCAGAACACTCCAGATGTTCTTTTATATAAACAAATAGAGTCTCTGTGCTTATAAATATGTGCTACTATTGGATTACTTTATGTTTCTCCCAAAATAATATAAGCTCCACGAAAGACAATGTCTTGCTCATACATGTTTTCTTGCATCCAGGACAGAACCTGGGTGGTAAGTAAATGTTTATTGATTCAATGAGCACATGGATAGTAGAGTGGCTGCCATAAGTGAACACCGAGATATTATTAACCATCGTTGTCATAATTAATATTTGCCACAAACAGAAAGGTGTTTTAATGTGGATAAAGTCCCCCTTTTATGTCTTTAAAGAAAATCCATTTCTCTCTAGTAAGATAGAAATTAGAGACTAAAATTAAGAGCTGAGAGCCCCACCCTGGGTTTGGGACCTGGCTCTGTCATGTGCTAGGAGTGGACTTTGGCCATGTCATTTCACGTCTATGACTGTGGAGCGTTATATGAGTTAATGCCACTGATGTGATTAGCATGGTACTCAACACACAGTAAACATTTAATAAATGCTTTATTATTTCTTTCAATAATATAAATGGTCCCAAATCTTCCTCCAGTAATCTGTATGGCGTTTAAAAAGCCCCTTAACCTTTCTGGTTGTCAATTTTTTCATCTTTAAAATAATAGTGTCATTTTTCCTATGGTTCATGAGGCTGTTTCAAAGATCAAATGAATCAGCAGGGAGAAAAGGCCTCTCTGAAAATTAAAAACGTGGGATCCAAATAGAAGAGGCTACTATTGCTAAGCCTAAAAACACAGGCTCCAAATAGACACATTCGACCAAAATCCTCATGGCCTTTTCTTTATCTTCTCTTCATGATAGACCATATGGGGGGAAGGAGAAGTAGTTCAACACACCTAGTCAACAATGACTTCAAGTATTCATCATTGAAGGGATGTGCATGAGTTTGTAAGGGGAAGAAGAATGAGAAATTAATAAAGAGAGTTTAGTTTAAGAGCACACACTCTGGAATGAGAATGCATATTTTGAATCCCTTCTCCACAACTCACAGGCAAATGTGACCTCAGGCAAATTGCTTAATCTATTCGTCTGTAAGTTGGACAAATGCTAGTACCTGCCTCATGGGTTGTTGTGAGGATTAAATTATCTGTATAAATCACTGAGAATATTCCCTAATACATGTCGTACTCTTAATAAAGATCAACTATTAAGATTGTAATTATTTTCATCGTTATCATCATTATTATTTTGGTAACCATAATGTTTTAAGAGATTAATACTCTGGGGCCTAGAAAGTTAGCAAGGTGGTTAAAGAATATCTAACAAACTTTTTACTCAAGATGGTATATTTGGATTTTGAAGTAAAGAAAGTGCTTTCCCACTATGTTAGACTAATCGGCCCCATCAAGGCTGGGTTTGCCTAACACAAGTGCCACATGTCTAAGACATCTTCTCTGTAACAGAAAATTTATGA